CTTTTAAAGAGTTAAAAATATAGTCTGTGTAATTTGCGCGCACGACGGACCTGTACACGTGTAAGAGCCCATTATAACTTCTACTTGCACTTTTCTACGTTCCTCCTCCCACCACCCCGTTCTCATCGTCTTTCCCCCTTTCTTGTTGTCCCCGCGCGATCACCCCTACAATTCCACCAAACCCGAGATACTTTCGTCGATTCGATTCATCCCCCGCTCGTCCCGTCCCCCATCCACCTCTCCGTCGTCACGTCTTCCCGTTTTCGGTTCCCAAAATTTGAGCACATCTTCGTGAGACATTGGTAATTGAATTTCACTTAGGCCTAAGATTCTCCGGTTCACCGTGCGCAGCCGGGGGGACGGCCACAGAAACGTCCTGTCATCCGATTAATCGATGTTACCAGTAATTAGCGCGCTCGATCAACAACCGGGCCACCGTTTCTCCGTTGGCCACCCCTCCAGATCCGCGCGGCATCCCCTAACGAGGATAAGAGACGCGTCGATTGTTTCCTGACACAGATTTCCCGATTTCCATCTCTCTCCCTCTCTCTTTCTCTCTCTCCCCTCGGTTTCACGCGCCTTTCGCGTTTTCTCTGCCGCTACGAAACCCTTCCTCCCATTCAACGATCGAACAGATATCGTCCGCGCTTGCATCCGCTAACAGCGCCGCGAATTGACATGATCCCTGGGACTGGTGGTCGGGACACGATCGATCGGAGCGTTGACAATCATGGCAAGACCGCTCTCCCGATGGAAAGAACTAACAACGGAAGGATCACCGCCTTCAAATTCCTGCCAGAGTACACGCGGACAACACGGCGTCGCGCGGCGCGCCGGATTCCCGCGAGAATCGCAACCACGATCGTGTTTCCATCACTTCGAATGCCCTATCCTCCGATCCCGTGAAACGCTACTCGCCCCAGGATCCGCGAAACAACCCTCGTCCGGCCATGAAACCGTTCTCCGACGCCGTGACCCTGTGACCCAGTCCCCCGGCAGAGCGTCTTAAAGCGATAGTCGCGTTCCGAGACCTCGTTAAATCGGCTCGAGCCTCTCTTAGCCGGCAACGGCGAGGAAAGCCGGAAAGCCGACGCAGTGGAATGTATTCTCGGCTCGCGTGACTATGCGCGCGCGCGCGCGCGCACGCTCGTCACGGGAACCTTCAAACGATTGACGAAATTGCTCTCGAACGATGGAGGACGCGTTCCCGCGCGACGAACAGAAACCCGCGTCGCGTCGCGTCGCGGTGCGAGAAATTCGAACCAGAGATCCGGCTTTTCGACAGTTCCTCTGAAACCCCGAGGACTTCTTTCGAACGCCGCGCGGGAACGCGCCACCAGGTTCGCGTCTCAGTCGATTCTCTCTTCTTTCTTCTTTGGATTAATCGCAGTCTTGACTCGAGGGAGCTACGAAACGACCGACTACCAGCGGAAGCGCGATTGTTTCCGGTGCGGAACGGTTCGAACAGGGGGTGGGGGTCGTGGGGAGAGAGCCAATCGATCGTTTACGACGAGAAGAACCTAGCGAACGGCGTTCCGGGATCGATCCGATCTCGATTCACGCGCTCGAAGCTGTTTGCTCGGGGATAATCGCGCGTCTATCGACGCTTCGGCCAGCGTAGATCGGCGACGAAGGCGGCGAGCAGCGAAGAACCGGATGACGGAGACAGGCGGGTGCCGAGGATGACGTTGACGATGAGAACGACGATGCGGAGAGTCCGGGACGGGGTGACTGTAAGACGGTTCCAACATTTTCATTGCGGATGCTGCTGCATGTGGGCCTGGTGCATGCTGCCTAGAACGTTCGCGATGATCTTCAGCTGCTTCTTCCGCATGCCCGACGAGCCGCGATGCTGCAGGCTCTTGTGCGTCGTGAGCGAGTTCTTGGTGCGGTATGGGCGGTTGCAGATCTCGCACACGTAGATGGTGCTCGATTGCTCATGCTTGTCCTGGAAATGACGCTTCAGGGAGTAGTAGCAAGAAAAGTTGCGACGGCAGTACGGGCATTCCTGAGGCTCGTTTATGCCGCCCGCCGTCGGCGGCGGCATCCGGTACATGGCAGAGGGAAGCGTCGACGGTGCTGGATGCATCCCGTTGCCCGTACCTGAAAACCGTCCGTCATTCGTCAGATAGATATCCTTCGTTCGATTTCTCGTGAGCTGTCGTTTCGCGGGAGAACAGTGCTTTGAGTTTTCAAATTCTATTCGAATGTAGTGTGTTATTCATCGTTTGTGAGAATGTACTCGAAGAGACAACGATATTTCGTTCGTTGCAAAGTGTTATTGAATTTTTATTAAACTGTTCTCACGTGAAACACAGCTCCAGACAGTTCAATCTGCGAAAGGAAAGGAAAATTGAATCTCGCGAGTCGTTGGAACAACCGCTAGATTCGTTGCGCCGTCAGCTGGGAGCCTGCGATGCACTTCGATCAAGGCTGCTCCGCGCTGTTCTCGAGACGACCTCGGTGTGCCTCGGGATCGATCGAGGATCGAATGCGCCGCTTCATCGATCGATATATCGGGAGCGTGTCGGATTGAATCGTAAACGATCCCATGCGACCGGACAAGTATCGTTAATCTTGCCGAGTTCCTCTGATCCGTGGTAAGTATATTAGTCGAGCGAGAGTAGAGATGAAGAGGACCAAAACCACCATGCCAGACCGCGGTCGTGTTTCTCGCGAGAACGAAGTTGAAAGAAGAGTGTTTCGATCGAGCGCGTGCGATCGCCGATCAACAGAGAAAAAAGAAATAAGAACTAATAATAATAAGTCAAAGGGAAACGTTAATGAAACAGCTTGCGAGAGGTTGCAGAGGCGGGTAACACGGTCGTGCACGAGACGAGATCGAGATATACTGCTAAAGGCCGCGGTGCGTGATTTCGCTCGGAATGAGGCTGCAGCGCGTGCGAAGGAATTGCAGTCATGCAGTCGCGCGCGGGCGCGTTCGATCGCCGGCAGATCGGGACGCGATAATTCACGGGTTACTCGAGCAGCGGCGGAACGGAACTGACGTGACTCGGAAGCGAAAGACGCGCGGATGCGACCGTCATGCAACGAGGAAACACGTTTTCGCGAGGAACGATCCCGATCGACGCGTTCAGCCGCAGCGCGAGCCGAGGCTACGGTGGACGAACGTGTTCTCAAACGAACGACGATACACATCAGCATGCACACAACATCGAACATCGAGAAGCCACGACAGAGATAATTGAAATGAAAGTAGAAACAGAGAACGGCGGGAGGCAAGGCGGGGCGAAACAGATCAATGGAAAAACGAACGAACGTGGGTATGTACACAGGGTGATTTGCCACAGAACTAAACGTATAACGAAAGAAAATGAAAGTGATAGAAAGGCGGTAGAAGGAGTTAAAATGGAGTGTTAGTTAAAGGAAGGTCCTGAAGCGCAATTACACCCAAACCCGGTTTCACCGCGAGGAAACGCTCGTTATTGCGTTATCCCGTCAATCATTACGATTCAACGATCCGATGCTCGATCGATGATCGGCTGTGTCGCAGATGGTTCTTCCCAGTGTCGCCCACGGGGCGAGCGAATCGTGTCGCGCATCGTCGATCCCGAGAGTCCACCGGCGGGGAGCAGTAGGAGTGTGTAGTATAACGGAGCTGTGAATACCGGAAGAGTTCGATACCGGCGACCGTACGGTACCGACGCGGACGAAGGACGACTGGGGGAGAGGAAAAGAAAAGCAGTTCCGCGGTTGGAGTGGACGGTGGAATGAACTTGCCGCTGGAACGAAAGCTCGGACCGCGAGAGAAGAGGAACGGGTGGAAGACGAAGAAGACTAAGAAGATTAAGAAAAAGGGGAGGAGCAAGAGGAGGAGGTGGAGGAGGAGGAGGAAGAGGAGAAGGAGGAGGAAGAAGAAGAAGAAGAAGAGGAATTAAGGGGTCGTTCCACGTGGGAGTCGGGACCGGTTTCTCTGGCATGCACGCTCTTCTTCGAGGGGGAACGGGCGGGCGAAGGGGGGAGGAATACCGGAAAGCGGAAGAGGGAGGGAACCGTTGACAAGGAAGCCGAGGTCGTTGCGAGGCAACGATTATGCGATCGCGGCCTCCGCGAGCGTTCCAACGACGAATCAAAGTATCGCGCGCGGCCGATGCGCGATAGTTAGGGTGAACGCAGAGAGAAGAGAGAATGCAACGTGTGTGATATATAGTAGGAAGCATCGATAATGTGTTAACAGGCAAAGTAAAATGGCGGAAAGACCACGCGTAAAGAAGGATCCGCGCGATTACATATTTCCTTTCTTTTTCGCCAGTTTGTTGTTTCTTTTTTTTGTTTTTGGCTATTTTTGTTGTTGTTTGCACAAGGTTTTTGCGTGTCCCCTACCTTATCTAAACCTTCAAAAGAACTTAATGTCAATGTCGCCGGGTCTGCTCTTATGATAGGTATATATATGGGTCATCAGGGAGTTACGGGAGCAGTACACCCGCTCGCAGATGACGCATCTGTACTCCTCCTGTCGCGCGGCATGCTTGTCGGCAACGTGGCGTTTCAAGGATGCTTTGCTGCACAGCTCCTTGTGGCACAGCTGGCAGCGGAACAGCTTCTTCGCTGACTGGGTGTTCAGAGAGTTCAAGGTCAGCCCCGTCATAGAGGTGAGCACTGAAACACAACAATGCACCTCGTGCAGCTGCAACCCCCACACTTTATACCCTATCCCCGTATCAAAGGGTGACGCAAGCGATAAACTCTTTCTTTTTATAATTCCAACCCTCGCTCTCAATCTCTCTCTCTCTCTCTCTCTCTTCCTTTCTCTCTCCCGTTCATTCTCGTGCGCACTATCCGTCTCTATTTCGCTCGTGCTCGTATTCTCCTAAAAAAAGAACGCCTCGATAACGTCCGGCGCAACGGGTAACAGGTTTGAAAAGGAGACGACAGCTCGAAAGAGTCGCGGCTGGCATCGGCGGGGCTCTAGATCGCGGATACGCCGTATTCTATCGGCAACACGTTGAATACCTCGCGAACTCACGAACGGAAATATTACCGCGTGACGCGGAAAACTGAATATCAATTTATCTCATCGAGCCGCGTTATCATTCTCCGTACGTTCACTCCGCCGAATGTGACCACTTCAAGGTACGTTCTCGACAGAGTGTCTTCTAACCGACTGAATCGCGATCATTGAATTTCATCGGGGGTCACCGTTAACGGTATTCAACGTGTTCCTGAAAGCGCGAGACAAACCCCGGAAACGTTTCCTACCGGATCCTTTCTCCCGCGATCCTCGATTGCTCCTTACGCCCCGTTCCGCGTCTCTCCGTTACCGTCTCGTCCATTCAGCATCCACGTATTCACGTATCCGAGACGGTCTCCGTCGTCGCCTATCCCCGGATCTCTCCGACGGTTGATCGCGTCGAAGTCCCGCCGCGATCGCGGCCAACAACGATTATCCCCGTTCTCCGCGGACCACGACCCTCCCGCCCTATTCTTCCTCCCCCGGCGAGCGTTTTGTAGGAAATCCCGCAACCCTCGTCGTCTGCCGGCGGCGCACGACACGACGACTGTTCCTTTTAAACGCGGCGGGATTTAAAAAAAACGAGGCGAACATTCGAGGGAAACAAACGAGTGAAAGAACGAACGAACGAACGAACGAACGAAAGAACGGACGCGAACGGGGGAACGACGGAGGGGGCGAAACATTCGATACGCGGCGCGCGCTCGAGACCGCCTCGGGAGAAAACAGAGAAAAAAGAAGGGGGATGACGCCGGGGAAGCGTACGCGTGTGGAGGAAACTCTTCCCGGCGACGATTTCGAAATGCTTGGTCGCCCCATTCGGTGGAGCGAAGTAAGAACTTTCAATGCCAGTCTTTTCTTCGGACCGCGGTCGGTTGCCAAAAGGCTGAGAAGGGTTAAGACGCGCGAGGGCGAGGCGCGGGAAACAAGTGGAACGATTCCGCGCGCGTCTCGGACACGTTCCGCGTGTGCACGTCTCGTCGCGGGCATTCAACGCCCGGCCGCGGCGTATGCAGCCCCGGGGATAAAGAGATAGAGAACGAGTCGGTGGCTGGAAGAAAGGGGGGGAGAAGAGAAAGGGTGAACTATAAGGGTCGCGGGTGAAGAACGGAACGAACCGACGGACACGGAGACGAGTTAAAGCGTCAATAAGGAGGCGCGCGCGGTTCATTTGTAATGGCCGCGTGCTCGTTAATTTCGAAATAAATTAAAAAAGATCCGGTCGGACGCTGCCGCTTTCGCAGTCTCGCGTTTATATTGCCTATGCACGTGTGCATGTGTGCGCGTGTGTATGTGTATATGTTTGTGTGTACATGTATGCATGTGTGCGCGTGGTTCTGGCTGTGAGGTGGTTTTAAAGTGTCTGTGTCGGAGTTATAATGCCGTATCCGCGCTCCGTGGCCATCGAACGCGAATGAGGCGAGGCGAACAGCCCACCCATTCGTTCGAAAAAGCTTTTTATCCAATTTCTCGAGCTGCCCCGTGTCTCGTTAAACTTCAGCGAAAAGAAACCGTGAAAGCAGCCTCCTCGCTGATGAGGCCGCCGGATTTCGACGGTTTGTCGTGAGCGTATACTCGTTTTTACACACACACACACACACGCGCGCGC